CGCAGCCTGGGAGCAGGAGAACCTGGGTGTGCAGCAGGACCTGGAGGCGCTGTCCCAGGAGAGGGAGGGGTGGAGGCAGCGCGTGGGCGCCCTGCAGGAGCTGAAGGCCAAGTGGCAGGGCCTCCAGGCACGCCTGCAGTGGGTGCTCAAGGACAGGGGCACCCAGCTGCTCGCTCTGGCCCACATGCTCCTCAGCACCCTGGGGCTGCCCGGTGTCCTGGACGATGAGCCGAACCAGCTGGGCTCCTGCGAAGGACAGCAGGACAGAGAAGCCGCAGGCGCCCACCTCCCGGGCTCTCTGACCCAGGAAGACGTGGATCTGATCCTCTGGGCTGCCAACTGCCTCACCAGGTCAGCGGGAGGCAAGAAGGAACTGTGCCCCAAAATGGCTGAGGAAGAGCTCAGAAGGCTGGCCCGGCAGCGACAGAGCCTCAGGGAGGAGCTGGCCTCTGTGCAGCGGGAGAACACACAGCTCAGCAGCGAGGCGGAGAAGCTGCGGCTCACTCTCCAGGCGCTGCCCCAATTCCATTGGGGCTTTGTCCGGCAGCTGCTCAGCACCTCGGGGCAGAAGCCAGGCCACCGCACCCCCATGCGCACCCGGGCTCGCAACCTGCAGGCAGACCACATCAGCCTCTACCGGGACATGGCCGGCGACAAGGAGAGAGAGCTGGAGAGGACCACCCTCTCCTACAGCAACATCAGCGCGTCCCTCCAGCAGGAAGCCGAGCGCAGAGGGATGGCCGCCCTGTGCACCCAGGCCATGGCCCAGCAGCTCAGGAACATGAACACCCAGCTCAGACAGGCCCTGGCCAACGTCCAGGAGGCCTTGCAACGCAAGGAAAGGGCGGCTGCAGCTGCTGCTGCTTGTCCCACAGCCCTTGGGGGTCTGCAAACCCCCATGGGTCCCCCAGGTCACCAGTCTCCCCAGGAAGGCAGAAGATCTCCCAAGAGGATCCTGAAGGTCCGATTCAATCTTCCTGTTGGCCAGACCTGAACATCTGCAAGCTGGACCAACACCTGTCCCGGCCGCCTCTCCCGCGGCTTCCCTCCCCGCCTGTCTCAATATTTCATGGACGCCCTAATGGCTCACAGTTAAGATTTTCATGTCTAGCTATATATAGCGTTTCCTCACAGAGCTCCCTTAATTTAACTGAGCGCCCCATAGTTAATTCCTAGTATTTAATTTCATTTAATTCTTAATTTTCCCTTATTTTCCTCTCATTCCATCCCATACAATTAAATAGTATAACTGTTCTACATAGATTTCAATAAAATTTCACTTTTAATTCAGCCATCATTGAAGTTTTACTTGCGTACAAACTAATTAGGTAATTTCTATGTGTACTGTCGGCGGTTAGACATTTAAGTGACTTAATATTGGACTTGAATCATTTTTTTTAATGCGAAAAAGAACTGGGGCGTAGGCCAGAGGTATGGTGTGGGGGGTGAGGATTCACCAGAGACAGAGTGAGGAGCAGAACAGGCAAACTGACTGAACTACACTGCTGAGGGGAGCAGTGGGGAGACAGGCGAGGTCTGCTGCACCCTGTGGGACAGCTCCCTGGCTAGGGATCAAACTCGTGCTGCAGTGGCTGGCGATAGCTTCATAGTGCCCCTTGCGCCACCAGGGAGGCCCTGGTGCGCTCACCCTTTAAAATGTGGGGTCCTAACAGTGGCTCACCTGGAATCCTGTATCATTCCACCACTGAAGAACCCCAGGCAATTTAGAAGCTGCTGGGCCTCAGTTTTCTGTTAATTGTTTCACAGTTTTCTGTAAATCTGTAAATTGGGGAGTGCCAGCCTCCTAGGATTGTTGCATCCAGTGAGTTGTTCCTACACAGAAAGCCATTAGAGGCGATTCCAGAGATGCCCTCCTGAAGGGTCACCACTACAGGTCCAGAGAGGGAGCCAGTACAGTACTGGGGACATGTAAAAAGCACCTGCTACGGGGTGCACTCAGCAAAGGGTGTCTGCCAGAAGTCCTACTACTCCGATGACTACTATTTCCCCTAATAAAAGAATGAAAACCACAGTATTAGCTAATAGCTGTGGTGACCCCATCAGGATAAATAAACTTTGTATCCTTTGTCTCCACCTTAGTCCTTGGAACACGAGTAATCCTTTGCATTGACTTCTTCTTTGCTTAAAACAAAAACAATAGGGTGTAGATGGGAGGGGAGAGCAGAAGGGGAAGAGTCAAGTAATTCTTCCCCCAGAAAGGTCACTTTCAAATACACTGCAGACTTTAAAATGCAGAGCTAGCTGCTGCTTTTGAATACATTTGCAAGGTCTCAATAGCCCCGAATGGGAAGTCTACTTTTGAGAGTTAAATTCATTTCCTTATTTTCATTTTGGTCTCGCTTCACTAATCCTGTTTTTCTTTTGATATTTAGAAAAGGTTGGAATTGGTTACAGTAAAGTGTTTTTTAGGCAAAAGTCTAAAGTTAAAGTCCCCCAGCAAACAGCCATTCTAGACCACAAGCAATTGCTTCCTCCCACATATTAATTTTCCTTTTTTTAAAAAAAATATTTTTTTAAAGATTTATTTATTTATACAAGCACTGGGTACAGTCAGAAGCGCGGGAGGGTGAGAGAATTCACCAGAGCCAGAGCGGGGAGCAGAGCAGGCAGAAGGACCTAAGCACACTGCTGAGGGGAGCAGCGGGCGGCAGGAGAGGAGAGGTCTTGGGACCCTCCTCCCGTGGCCGGGGAGCAGCCGGGGATTGAACCGGCGCTGCAAAGGCTGCAGGCAGCTTCGCAACCCAGCGCTCAACCGCTGCACCACCGGGGAGGCCCAATTTTCCTTTATTTAATTTTTTAAAATTGAGGTGACTGGCTTACAGCACTATATGCACTTTGGGGGTACAGGTTCACACCTGGGGTGTAGTTACCATACCACCCTCACCAACAGCTCATTTTAACAGAAATGGGCACCCCTTATTTTAAATTGTGCTTACTGATTTTGTTTGGAGACAAGGGACCGGAACTGGAGTTGATGGACCTGGGGTTATTCATGCAGCACAGGTTTTCTCCACTGGAAAAGCCACTGCCTTTATATAAAACCTCTCAAACTCCATGAAGGAAACAGGTGATGCCAAGAGAAGCCAGCAGAGGTGCCAACTTACTACACCGGTGGAAAAGGTGCAGCTCTTCTGTGGACTCAAAATGGGAGCTTCCCCATGCCAAGGAAAGGCCCAGAACTAGCAGAGATAACACCTCTGCCCCACCTTTCATGACTTACACACACACACACACACACACACACACACGTATCCAATGTCCTGGGCTGTCTGTCGATGTTGGTGACAGGAAGGAGGTGCAGTGTACACACAGCTATCCATGAAATGCTGAAACACTCGTACTCATGTGCTCTTGTTTGAAGGCAGGTGTAAAAAATACCTTTAATATTACCCGCTTCCCTGTTGGTGTAGGGGTTAAAGTCTCAGTGCTCAAGCTATCACCAGCCACTGTGGCTTGAGTTCGATCCCCAGCCAGGGAGCTGACCCACATAGCACAGCAGCCCTCTCCTGTCTTGCCTCCTGCTCCCCTCAGCAGTGTATTCAGTAGATCTGCCTGTTCTGCTCCTCACTGTCTCTGCTGAATCCTCTCACCACCCCCCACACCTCTGTCCTACACCCCAGTTTTTGTATGCATCAATAAAAATACATCTTTAAAAAAAAAAGTTATCTCCCCCCCAGCCTACTTCTTCACATTAGTACTTTTTTTCCCCGAAGCAATTAATCAGGTAATGATTGCACTGTACGCATGCCCTCTGGCTGAGCTGCAGAAACACACCTCTCCCAGGTAGATGCCCCCAGGGCCAGGTGCCTTTGGACTCATACACCCGCCTCCCTCGACTCAACAGATTGAACCAAGAGAATCTACCCAGCGCAGAGCTGGGACAATTCTCCCCACGTACAATAGCGCAGAAGCAAAAGCCATGGCCACCCTGCTGGACGCTGTGTCCCTGATTCAGCTTTGCATGCTCCCCTCAGATCTCAGCATCACCCTAGGAATTAAATAGCCCCCCTTTGCAGAGTAGGGATCTGGGGTTCATGAATTATCTTGCCTTCAGGCACCCAGCCCAGCCCAAGTGTGGTACTGAGACTTGAGAGATCTAATCCTGTTCCGAAGTCCATCCTTTCCCCAGACTTGAAATGTGCCCCATTCTCTCACTCCTCACTCAAACTTGTCTCTGCACTTCCTTAGAAGCTGACAGGTGTAGCTTTCCTGTTTGTGCTCCAGCAGGCATGCTGATGAGTTGTAAGCAACGGGTCTCGTTGCTGGGGGAGTCCCCCTTGAAATACTGAGGAACAAGATTCTTGCAAGGGGCACCTACTTTAATGCCTTCATGATGATGAGATTTAACTCACCTGTCACCTACCCCTGGCAAGGTCAGAATTCACTGAACAAACCACCTTCTCAAACCACCTCAGTCCTGATGTCAACCTGCCAGGAAGGTCCAACTTTCCCACCTACAGCTGGCCCAGCCAAGCCTTTCCTGGGCCCTCTCAGCAAATGCATCAACCAAGCCCCGGCAAAGCAATGTCCTTTCCAGAACACCTGCCCTTCAACAGTTCTGGGGAAGCCAACAGAAGGCAGAGGGCTGGGGGTTGGGAGAGGCAAGCTTGCCACCCACCCCAGCCCCGTGCTACTGATAGAACTGACATGTAATTGGCAGTTGATTTTTGAAATTAAAACTTTGAGATTTGGGCCTTCCTGGTGGCGCAGGGGTTAAAGTCTCAGCCCTATGAAGCTATTGCCAGCCACTGGGCACAAGTTCAATCCCCGGCCAGGGAGCTGACCCACATGGCACAGCAGACCTCTCCTGTCTTGCCCATTGCTCCCCTCAGCAGTATATTTCAGTAGATCTGCTTCTTTTTCTTCCCACTCTGTTTCTGGTGAATCCTTTCACCACCCCCACCTCCGACCAACTCCCCAGTTCTATGCAAAAATAATAAAATCCTTTTTAAAAAAAGAAATCTACTTCAGGTGTCCAGAGTCGTGAAGATTCTCCTAGGATCTAATGCTGGTCTTGCCACTGGGTTCGCAAAGACCAACCGGGCAAAGGCAGGCAGGCAGGAGGGTACTTAACCAGCAGGACAGTAACCGGATCTACCCTGGTGAGGCCCTATCACTACCCTAAGGGTCTTCCCTTGGAATTAAAGACCAACTCCTATGTGGCTCTCAGCCCATTCCAATCCAAGCAGCCCCTAAGTGTGTGACGGTATAAAGTATTGTCTCTCTGCTCAGTGAATGAGCAGAAGTTAGGACGAGACCAGTTGAGTTAGCTGAGATAGAGTATCTATGGCACGATGAGCCTTACACGTTCACACACGAACTCCAGCCAGCGTTCAAGATTACCCGAAGGAAGCTCAGTTTTGGAGCAGGAAAACTTACATACACACACCTGGTGGGAGGGGAAAAAAAAAACATCCGAAATTTATTCTCCAACAGACAGACAGCATCAGCAGGTAAAAACTACAGGGGTTTCTCCGTAGGTCATACATTCACAAGGCATTATTAGCTTAACAGTGAGGAAGCCTCTGGTGTATTCTCTGTAACAATATCCACTTCACAGTGTAAACAGGTACTAGTATTGTGTTCACTTACAATTCCAGAAGGAAAGGCACAACTTGGCAAAACAAAAAACTTGTTTGGATCCTCAGGTCAGGAGCAATAACCGAGACCAACAGTCTTTGATCCACTTTCCCACACAGAAGGGAGAAAGGACTTCTCCACCCAGAAGCCAAGGTCTTTCTCCCTCCTCATTAAGCCATCAGAGCAACATTTGCTTAATATTACATATACAAAAAGGAGTTTAAAAAAAACCAAAGGAATCACAAAAAAACTTGAACGTCCAGCTGCTCCCACCAATACATCAACTCTTAGGTTTAAGACAGGGGCTAGGAACACTTCAGCGGTCATAAAATAGGAAAATAGAGACTATGGCTACAAAAATAATAAATGAGGTAGATAAATTAAAGCTTTCACACTCAGGGCTTGCCTGTTCCAAGTTCGCAGCCTTCATGTAATACTCAGGGAAAAAGAAATTTTCATCAAGACTTGGCATTAAGTCATACCAAGGACCTTTAAAAAAATTACGATGTGAATTATTACGTGAATCTATAAGAAACACACCCTTCTGCGAGTTTCCTTAAGAATGAAAACCCAGCTCTTCAATCGAGTAGGCACTGGCAAACCCGGTGAAGTCGCCCGGAGATCCCCTGCTTGGTACCACCTCCCCTGGGGCTCCGGGTGTCTGGGGGGAGGGCAGTGCCAAGAACTGGCACTCTCAACTCAACTGTACTTAAATAAGCAGCAACATACACATCGACCCCCGAAGGCCTAAAATCAGCCCATCGGAGAGCATCCTACGTAAGGTTCCAAGGTTGAAGGAATTCTGGAATTCTACAACCTTGGTTTAAAAAAGGGTACATTCAAAAAAAGAAAAAAGAAAAAAAAATAACAAACAACAAAGACGGATGCAGGATTGGGGCGCATACAGAACAGACCTCTGCAAGCCGGCAGACCTTGTCCACTGACCCGCATCCAGCCCCCTGCCCCGCCAGGCTAAGCAGTTGTCCCTTCCGCTGTGGTTCAGTCAGGTCCAACTTGATATACAGGACGGTCTTTGGAAAGTGTTACCCGAGGTTGTACAAAGCTTTTTTGTAGAGTCTGTCACAAACAACAAAGCGACTTTGCAAGACCCGCTTCCTTCCACAATTAAAAAAAAAAAAAACAAAAAAACTCGACTGTATGTTAGTCTGGATTTGTCCCTTTTTCCATTTTTTTTTTTTTTTTTTGGCAAAGCAGCACAGCAACATTGTGATTGTGGGACTTGCCTGAGGTGTGGTCCCGGCTGTAAACATCACCTGCACATCCAGGAAGCCGGCGGGAGGAGGTGGGCTTTCGAAAGCCGGACAAGAGCTGGAGCTCACTCGGCCTGCACCCCCGCCCCCCGCCCCCCGCCTGTCCCGGGGCTCAGCTGACCGCGATTTTCTTTTCCTCCAGGAAGTGGGGGAACTGGTGCTTGGGGACGCCGTCAGCCGCGCCTGGCTTCTCCACGTCGGCGCCCAGAGCCGACTGGGAGCCATCCATCTTGGAGAGGGTGGTGTTGTTCACCACGGAGCTGGCGCCCAGCGACACGGGCAGTGTGGGGATGCCGCCACTCTGGATCACGGAGATCTCGTTGGTCTTCATGGCCAGGCCGCCGTGGAGCATGGTCGTGTACTGGTTCCACACCACGGGGTCCACGTTCACCGAGGGGGTCAGCACTTCCTTGGGAAACATCTCGGGAACCCTCTTGCCATCCGTTCCTAACAGCGCCATGGTGTTCTCGATGGCCAGTTTCCTCCCCCGGCGCGCGGAGCTGTTGCTGGCCCCGTGGGTCATGTAGTGGACCTGCGGGGACAGGGACAGGGGGTTGCAGCACAGAGACCTGGTGGCACGTGGCCGCGCCGAGACCAAGAGTCTGACTTGGCGGTGGGGAAGCACAGCCCCACCACCCGCTGCTTCTTGGACCCGGTCTCCTTTCCTGGATTACTTTCCCCGTCTGGCTTTTGCGTTTTCAAATCCCTTTCAGCTTCTTTGCAAACTGAAGGATGTGCCAGCCCCAGATTTCTCAATCAGCTCGTTCCCACCCAGCCCCCTTCACTGACACCCTTAGAAGTTAGCAGCGACCACCCATCAGTTCTCAGTCATTATAAACAGCTGTCAAGATGGTGCAGGAGACCACCGAGACACTCGACACGTAAATCTCAGGGCAGCTGAGGGAGTGACCGTGCACCCCACGCCGGGGAAGCCAAGGCGCGCGGTCCCGTGCCCACGGCTGGCCGGAGTGAAGCTTCATATTTAGAGATTAATCTCTAAAGATTAAGTCACCGATGTGCCTCTCCTGATGTTTTCATCAACTAGACCTAAACAGCTGCAAAGGACATAGGTTTGTCCAATAAGTATTTACACTTGTAAGATACAGTCTTCTAGTTCCAACCGAAGGTGACGTCTCAACATTGAGGCTACACTACAAAGATTCAACTAGTTCACTTGTTAGAGGAGTAGAGAAAAGAGACTCAGAGACAATCACGAAACTGGAAGAAAGGAAGGAGGAAGCAGCCCCTCTCATTGCAATTGCCTTGGCACGCTGACCACTCTCAACCCTTACCCGGGAGCTCCTCCCCAGCCCCACCCGAAACCCAGGTGGAGCCAACTTGTAATAGTAGATACGCACGCCAGACTCTAGAAATATCTAGCCACTCAGGGTTACAAACAGGGCTGGAAAACCTAGAGGCTTTTGTTCATCTCTAGTGGCACTGTATTCTCACAGGTAAGAGGGGTGCTATGTAATCTGGGAGGGAAGACAAAGCAAGGTCCCATTATTGCTTCATATACATATTTTTTTTCCAACTGATTTATTTCAACCTAGCCAATTAGCAGAGAAGACAATACACAGGGCGGCTGGTTATCAAACTCTGAAGTGCTTACAAACACAGAGATCGTGATTTCAATATTGCACCACAAATACCCTCTTTGCCTCCCAGAGTCTATTCCATGCAGATGCTGAACTATTCACAGAAACCAGTCGCAGGCCGCACTTTACACGGAGACAGGTAGTCTGAGACAGGTAGTCTCAGTAGTCCGTGCACCCCACTCCTGCACAGCATCTTATAAAATTCATCATCATTTTGTGATTCAGATTAGAAACCCACTTATTATAGGCACTGACTGCAAGAAGCACCCCCATCTCAGAAATGGGACTTATGAGGAAATGCACTGCTTTTAAAGAATGTTTCAGGCGCTGAAACAGCGAGGTACAACTCCAGACCCCCCACTTCATCATGCGTGGAAAGCACCAACAGAGATGCCACCCCGTCCCCAGCCCCGCGGAACACCTGCACTCACCTTCAAGTTGCCTTTGGTGGTAAAAGCTCGCCCACATATGCTGCAGACGAAGGGCTTCTCCCCCGTGTGCGTGCGCTCGTGAATCTGGAGTGCACTGGCGGATGAGAAGTTCTTGCCGCAGCGCAGGCAGCCGTGCTGCTTGGCCTGGCGGCGGGGCTGGGTGGTCAGCAAAGGCGTCAAGCCTGGGGACATGCTGGCGGGTCCCACGAACGCCCCAGGGACTTCCACTTTGACATAGGTCGGCTGGGCTCGGATAAAGGTTGATGGGAGACTGGTCCGACCTAGCAGGCACAGAAAGCAAAGCCAAACCTTTATCATCTAGCACGCACTCCTTCTTCAGATCCAAGAAAGAACCCCAAAACCACTTGTCCGTGCTGAGAGCCTGCATGTGGCCCTCGGGAAACGGACAGCGAATGACCCAGACACTCCAGAGAGTGTACCCCTTTGATGTCAAGGTAAGAGCATCACATAAACACTCAGGATTCAAGTTCAAACTCCTGCATGAAGAGGTTAAAGTATGCAGATGCCAGCTTTCTTTAATTCTCTCACACAGCTGTTTCTCCCCCTGCCCCACCCCCCAATTTACCATTACTGACATCAGCAGGTACCTCAGCATTTAAGTCTGCATGGACTCCAGATTCGCCAGCCGCCCCCCGCCAAGCATTATTACAACATTAGACAGTAGGACCTCAGAATCAAGGAGCTATGGCCAACGATAGGTGTCCGCTTTCTCAAACATCCTTCTACTGTAGCGTTTACTTAAGATGACCTGTCTGTCCCAGTGAGGCTCAGAACACAAAAATAACATCTAACAACTCAACACCCGCTGTCCACACCCAACTTGCATTAACCATCACTGATACAAGCAAGTTGTGACGAGGCCAGAGGAGCTGCTATTTCCCTCCATCCTACAGAAGGGTAGGTGCCCTGCAGAGGGCCACCCTTGACACAGGGCAGCCATTGGGGGGATCAACCCAGGTTCCATTGGGGGATCAACCCAGGCTCCTTTGGGATGACCTCGTGCCCACAATGGACATTAAGTTAAATCCAAAGGTCCATCACCTTCCAAGTCAGGGCGGCTGCTCTCGGAGCCCTCCGCTTTGCCGCCAGCGTCAGGAGACTTGGACTTGAGACTCTCAGCCTGGCTATTGGCCGGGGAGAGCGCCTGGAAGGACGTGGTCTCCAGGGCGTCTGGGCTTCGGCTCTGATACTCCTGGTCCCCCATCAAGGAGGACGACGAGTCGTTGGTCAGGCCATCGCTCTCCGCCGAACCGTTCTCTCGGCTGCTCTGCCGCTGCAGGGTAAGAGGAGCAGGACCCACTTTCCCGGGGGCCTCCAGGGAAGCCATCATGGAGAAGCCCAGGGTGGGCGATGCCGAGTGGACGCGGGCCAGGGGCGTGGGGGCCTTGGAGGAGCTCCCGGGGGGCTCCTGGGGGCTGACTTCATCAATGTCGATGCTTTCGATGACATCATCGCGACAGAGAGGCCCCGTGCTGCCATTCTCGCTGAGCATCATGGGCTCGGGACCCAGAAAGTCGCAGGGGTTCTCCGGCAGGGGCGTGTTGGGGATCTGGCCGCCCATGTGCATCCGGATATGCTGCTGCAGCATGACGGCGTTGGTGAACTTCTTCTGGCAGATGGGACACGAGTGCTGCGTCTTTATGGATGTGTTGGTTCGGTGAACCCCGAGATGCGTTTTCAGGTTGCCCTTGGTGGAGAAGGCCCGGCCGCAGATCTTGCACTGGAACGGTCTCTCCCCGGTGTGGGTTCGGTAATGCATTTTGAGGGAGCTTTGGCAGCTTAAGACACGGTGGCAAATGAGACATTCGTTGGGGTCGGTGGTGGCCTTGTCGATGTTCTCCACCAGCTGCTGCAGTTTCAGGGTCTCCGACCCTGGCTCGGGGGTCCCGCTCCCTGGGAAGCCACAAGCCCTCGGGGAGCTATTGTTTGGCCCTGCCCCAGGGAGGAGGGTTGCACCCTCGCTTTCTGGGGGAGGCCCCAGCTGCAAGTCACCAGGCAGCGGGCCGCCTGTGAGGTCCTTGGGGTTCGTCCCCGAAGAGAGATTCTGAGGTAGCCCTACATTGGGGGTTCCTGTTACAAGGACAGGTTTGCTGTCTAAAGAGAGACTTGACTCATCTACGGGGACAGGGAAGGCGCGGGCAGGCGACATGCCGCTGCCTGCTGCGGTTTTGTCGTGGAACTCGGCAAACAGCTGGGGGTTTGCCTTCACCTGGGGGTGTCGATGAAAGTGCACCTTGAGGTTGCCCTTGGTGGTGAAACGGTGGCCACAGACAGAGCACACGAAAGGTCTCTCTCCGGTATGGGAGCGGAGGTGGATCTGCAAGGAGCTATCAGTCCCAAACACCTTGCTACAGTACTTACACTTGTGCTTGCAGAGGGTGACCTCGTCTTTGCTTTTGACTTCCACCAGGGAGATGTTCGGTGGCTTCCCCTTCCCTTTCTTGGACGGGTCTAACGCCACCGTGGAGAACGGGCCCTGGAAGAGCACCGAGCCTGGGGCCTGAGGTAGCAAAGCGCCCGGGAGGCGGGACATGACGCCGGGGAGCACCCGGGTCCCATCCGGTTTCAGGGCGAAGGGGGTCAGCCCCGGGGACACAGAGCTGCTGGCGGAGGGGAGGTTGGCGTGAGGTAGCCTGGCTGGTTTCAAGGCATCCAGGGGCAGGCCCGGGCCTCCGGGTTTCTGGCTGAGCAAGGCCACGGCGGCGGACACCTGCTGGGACACGTGCCCCCCCAGGGTCTTCAGGGCGTCGGCGCCCGCCACGCCGGCGTGGAGGGCGTGCGAGGCCCACATGTTCACCTGGATGCGGATCTGCTCGGTGAGCTGGATCTGCTGCAGCTGCTGCTGCTGGAGGCACAGGATCTGCTCCAGGACCCAGGGGATGCTGCCGGCGCCCGGCAAGGGGGCAGGCAGCGCGTCCGCACTCCGCTGATTGACGGCCACCTTGGTGCCCCGCAGCGCCTGGAGGGTGACGTTCGTGTTGGCCACTTTGCCTTTGGGTAAATAGCTCATGTCCTGGGGCGCGGGCGGCAGGGCGGTCTCCGTCTTCAAGTACACGACCGATTCCGCGCCCGGCTTCTCCTTCGGGTCGCTGGGGCCGCCGCCCTCCTCCCTGCCTTGGGCCTGCGGGCCCAGCCCGGCGCTGGGGAAGTCCTCGCCAGGCACCGGCCCCTCGCCGTCGCTCATGATGAGGACGGGCGGATTTTTAGTGCAACTTTTCTTGTGTTCCAAGAACTCGGAGAAGCTGAAGAGCTCCGCGCAGCATCGGTCACAGATGTGCGTCTCCTCCCGGCGAGGCCGCTTCGCCACCGCCCTGTCCCCGTTCGTCACATCATCGCCGTGTCCGGGGCGGCTCAGGGGAGGACCTGTGGGGAGAGACAGAGAGCTAAGACTCGGCCCAGGAGCAGGCGTGGGGTAGCCGAGTGGGAAGACCCCAACAATGCACACGGCACGTCATCTCTGTCCCCGGGGGCAGAAGATGGTCAGAGACAGGCGTCGGCCTGGAGGGACAGCCAGCTCGTGGGGGGAGGAGACCCTGTTCCAATGCTCAGCACGAGACCATATTGGGAACAGGACATCTGGGGGCAGTACCGGGCAGCTGTGTCCCCGGGGCTGACCCCCTTCGCCCTGAAACCGGATGGGACCCGGGTGCTCCCCAGCGTCATGTCCCGCCTCCCGGGCACTTTGCTACCTCAGGCCCCAGGCTCGGTGCTCCTCCAGAGCCCAAGCCCACTGTCTGGCGTCCTTAAAGAGAAAGGGAATAGAGAGTAAGGCCACCTGAAAATAAGGCGGCTAAGAGACTGCAGGTCAAGGATTCAAGAGGTCAGGAGTTTCTAGAAGCCAATGGAAGGAAGAGCATTTCCCCATGGGGTCTGCCCAAGCAGCCGCCCCTGCTGCCACCTCGGTTTTAGGCACCTCACATCCAGATCTACAAGAATTTGTTATTTGGAGTCATCCAGTTTGTGGCAACTCGTGACAACCCTAGCCCTAGGCAACCCACACAACTTATTATTAAAAGAAGCCCCCTGGAGCTCTGCCCCCTCGCCCCCACTCAGAATCGATGTGCAAAAAGCAAGGCCAGTGGGTTTCATGGAACCGATAAAGCGATGGTGGAGATCTGCTGGGGATGCCCACCCGGGCCCAGCAAAAGCAAAGCCACACAAGTCCTTCTGCAGGGGCTGAGCACCATGCCCGCCACAGGCAGTGAGGACAGTAGCGCTGAATTCACTTACGACCTGGAGAACAGCACACTGTCTTATTTAGGATAGGAAGACGAAGGAGACAGCCCCGGAAATAGTTCATAGAGGCAAAAACAGGCCGTGTTGTCCTCACTCGATACTTCTCCCCTGCCTTGTGTGGAAGGCAAAGGAAGGCGTCCCAGGATGATGGAAATGAATCCCAGAGCCCCCTGCAGTTCACACTGGCACCTCTAGGTGCCCCGCCCTGTGCCCATTCTGTCCTCTAAAACAGCCCCTTTACAGATAAAAACAGACCCAGGTATAACGTGACTTGCCTAGGTGAGCACCATTAAAAATTACTGATGGTGGGCCTCCCCGGTGGCGCAGCGGTTGAGCGCTGGGTTGCGAAGCTGCCCGCAGCCTCTGCAGCGCCGGTTCGATCCCCGGCTGCTCCCAGGCCACTGGACGAGGGTCCCGCATGGTGCGCAGACCTCTCCTGCCGCCAGCTGCTCCCCTCAGCAGTGTGTTTCGTCAGTCTGCCTGTTCTGCTCCCTGCTCTGGCTCTGGTGGATTCTCTCACCCTCCCGCGCTTCTGACTGTACCCAGTGCTTGTATAAATAAATAATAAATAAATAAATCTTTTTAAAAAAAATTACTGATGGTAACTTCTGAGCACTTACTATGCACCAGGTACGATTCCTAACCGTGTATATGCTATTAACACCTCTGAGGCAGGGGCTTTTCCATTTGACAGAGGGGTGACACAGAACCAATATTAAAAGCCAGGGATGCACAGTCCAGATCCTCCGCTTGAACTCTACCTACACTTCCCATCAGACTTACGTTTCTTCTGAAAAGACTGCAACTATCTTTCCTCTCATGGAATCCCCAGGGTGAGGAGCGGAAAGCCTGGGGGAGGCTGGCTGGGAAGGAGAAGGGGACAAACTAGACCTCCTGTGAAGAGGAGAAGCCCCTGCTATTCCAGGTAGAGGTCAGCAGGTAGATACTCCCTTCCCGCCCGGGACTGGTGTAAATGGGCCTCTTAAGAATCAAGTTACAATCAATTCCCAGAACCCTTAAAATAGGAAGTTATCTATGTAAGACTTCCCCAAGAATTGAAAGGCCCTGCTAGCAGGGGGTGGTAAGCTGCAACATCTTTCTGGAAAAGCAATTCTGGCAATTATGTGTCAAGAACTTTAAAAAGTGGAACTTTAAAAAAAGTTTCTCTTGAGGGAAATACACTGGGCTGGCAGGTGCATGTAAAAGGCACAGCTTATTCAGAGGCCATCCAGGTAGGCAGGGGGCCATTTCCTTTAACCCAGCGATTCCTTTGTTAGGAATTTATTCTCTGTAACACAAGGATACATTTATTGTACTAACAAACTGCAAAACTAAAACATGAAGCACTCTGGTCCAGCAGTCAAGTTCCGATCAAATAAATTAGGGTCAGAAAAAAGATGAATACTCCAAAAATAGACCTATATTTCATATGCCAAGAACAAATGCACAAGATTTATGAAGAGGAGAAAAAAGGGTAGAGGACAGGATGTATATAGAACGTGCTCCCTTTTTTGTGTTTGCAGATGAAGATATAGATATGTGCACGGAAAATTTCTGAAATTAGAAACTTACTGTTCTTTACCTCCTGGAGCGAGTGTGGGGGTGGCGTGGGGGAGGGATCGGGAAGACAGACACTTCAAACTGAATACACTTTTGCACTGTGGCTTCTCTTTAATTAGCCTGTTTACACTCTTTATCAGTCACAGAACTTCTGGCAATCTCTAATCAAGTCCATGCAAAGATGCAAATTCTACTTTGTAAGGTCCAGAGCAAAGTCACCACCACCCTCCTCCACAAACAGCAGAACACACACTTACTCAAAGACTCTGACTCATTTCTGTTCCCAGCCACACCAAACAAGGAACTTTGTTTTCAGTTTGCAGATGTGGAAACTGAGGCTCAGAAATCATTTTAAGGTGACATACCTTATCTGACCTTATCTGTGGTTTGTTACCTGCAGTTCAAAAATATTACATATGCGATATTTTGAGAACAACCACATTCACAAAACCTTTATTCCAGCACATTGTTCTGTTCTATTTTATAAGTAGATATGGTTGCGTGTCTCTTACTGTGTCTTAGTTATAAATTAAACCTCACCCTTGGTGCATTTATCTAAGGAAAAACCCCATAGCACATACAGGCACATATGGATTGGGGCTAGCTGTGGTTTCAGGCATCCAAGGGGGTGGGGGTGGGATCTTGGAAAGTGGCCCCACAGATTAGGGGGGATAAATGTAGAAAAAGTGGTAATCCAATTTAGAACTGTTTCTTCCTACAGCAGACTTTCTCAAACTTATTTCATTTTAGATGTGGAGGTCACTTAAATTTTTTTTCCTGATCACCCCCCCCAACCATGAAACCTTAATGCCAAAATATCAATATATTGTCTGTTTATGCTCTATGATCTTTTACAAGCCACTCTAATATCAATAAATGTTTTGCCCCTGCCCCAAGCAGTTCTCATCCCCCGGGGGGGTCAATATGCCCTCACTGAGAAAAAACCAGTTGTAAAAGCAGAAATTCTTAAACTGGAATCCATGAAATTAGATAGGAAAAGAAATGAATCTTTCTTTTCACTAACCTCAGCTACCACCAAACATTCTTTTCGATGGCTTAAAAATTCAGTCTGCAGGGTCTTAAAGTATTCATGTACTGTATTAATATTAATGCATGTTACTTTATCACACGTTTACATGTTATTTTCAGTGCAATTTCTTTTCTCGCTATTGCATGTATTTTATTTTCTGCATCTAAATAGGCTCTGTTGAGGAGGTCGATGGCACAGGAAAGGTTAAGCTCCCTGCACTAGAAGGATCCAACAGTGATTTACAACCTGAATACCAGCTTGCCTTCACTGTATACACAAGCTCGCCTCTTCTGTAGCCTCCAAGCAATACCCGAAACATCCCACTTGAGTCTTAAAACAGCGGCAGCTCTGTTTGCTCCTGCAGTAAAAAAGTACTCCTACATCCAGACCACCAATGGCAAATACTAAAGCTCTATTTGCCAAAGAGTAAGAGGACTCTGTTATGAACAATTGCTGGGTATGCTTAAGTTAACCCTTCCCAAAAGGAAAAAAGCAAAGTTCAGGGGGATTACAAGGCGACCAGTTCTTCCATCCTCCACCCCACCCCCACTCCGAATTTTAGGAATGTTATCTCTCGGCATCTAGTTATCCAATAAGTTGGAAGAATGCAGTAAACCCAGCAGGGGTCTTAGATTCAATCACTGCCAAATGGATAGAAAATACTCTTAACTATTGTATAGGGAAGAAAGCTCATCTATCTATCAGAGGCCAATCTGATTCTGGAGGTTTGAAAATGCTTAAAAAAGAAAACCTGTGTATCCTGAGAAGTGCAGGAAGCCTCCAGCTTATCTTTTATCCCCTTTCCTATATTAAAGTAATGACTTTATGTATTTATTTTTGCATAGAGGAACTGGGGTATAGTAAAACAACTACAATAAGCAGAGGATCTAAAGCACATGAGGATAATTACTTGCCAAAAAACAAAAAGGAAATTGGTATGTCCTGAAGTATTAAACCAGTTGAAAGTGCCCTTCCAACCAGTTTCATTTTATATCTGAATTCAGCAGTGAGAAACAAGTCTTTAATTCAACTCATAGATGGCATATTAAAGGGGTAAATAGTTTTTAATTCATTAAGAGCTTAAAAATGGTTTCAAAGGGTCTTGGATCAAAATTCAGGGACTCTGCTGAAAAGGAAAATGAGTATAAGAACCAAAGAAGGCTTTACAGCTGCTATTTACATTACAGAGATCGGTCCCATTTAGCCGCCACTGGGGCTCATCTTTTAAGCAAATCTGAGACTCCATGCAGGAGGGGCTTTTGTTGCCTCCTCCTGCAGAACCCCCTAGAACAAAGCCTGACATAGACATGAAATTCATTTGTTGGGAAAAAAAAAAAAAAAAACAACAAAGGATGGCAAGTAATGGGAGATGCAACTCTCGTCTGGATTTAGAGGGCTTTTTAATGGTTGAGGTGCTTTTTTTAAATTATCAAAAGTACAGTAGGTTAAGGGTGATGATAAAGGGGACCTTCCTGAGCTATTTTGCCCATCATTTTCCCAGGGCAGCAGTGAGGCCAGAGAACCAAACGCAATCATATTTCCAATGGTTTCCCAGAGTCCTCCTGAAATCTAAGCCTTCAGCAAAGGCACATCTCAAAAATTAAAAGGGAGTCTGAGATCCTCAATCTCACCATGATTCCCTCATCAAAAGAACTCACAGAAAATCCCATGGCATCAGCCGGGCTTCTAAGACCGTAACACACACAGCCCCTTAAATAAGGGAAGGAGCCATTTCCACCAGTCTGCAGCTTACTCTAAGATGAGAAAGATAACGTTCTTGAGGCCAGTCAGGTCTCTAATACTTAGTTAGGCTCTAGCTAAAATTGGAGAAGAATCATCTCAATGGACAGCTCAAAACCATCTTGACAGGGTAAAGAAATACAAATTGAAACATGGTATCTTGAACAAAATTAATTATACACCACATCCCCTGGCACACCTAAGTCTTTTATAGCTGAAATTACCCCAGCAGGTTCCTTATTGCCACTTTGGAAGAACTCAAAAGCTCAGAGAAAAACAGTAGGTTGCAAGGTTACACAGCTGAAATTCATACAAGCGGATTGGAATGCTATCTCCAAAACCCCACAAAAAATATCCAACTTCCCAGGCACCAACCACCTCCCCCCACATTTATAAAGAGTAAATGCTAACTATCTCCCTTCTTCCAAGAAGGCCTTGGGGGTCTCCCCAACCACCCACCCATGAGGAAGCCAGCACAGGCCGGTAAGATCAACTAAGTATCTTGATTGTGCAAATAATTATTTTCAAAGGAAAAGCCGGGGCTGTGGGCAGGTAGGTGCTTTACTTTTGGAAGGCCAGATTAAAAAATTTTAAACACAGAAAGGTGGTCTGCGCATTAGCTAATGTAGAAAACAAGATTGCTCTCTCCCCGGATGCAAACAAGGCCCCCAAGTGCCTGCCTCAGAATCCTTAGAGGCAGCCAAGTCATTTCAGTTTAGTGACTGGGGCTAGGCAGTTAGTTATTTGAAACGCGGGAATCTTAATCGTGGATGGTTGTAATCCAGTTTACTACAAAGGGCATTTGAAACTCTTTTGAGAAAATGCTAATTTTCCTGTATGTAGCGTGATTCCTCTGACCACCTGCAGATTTTCTGATCTGCTAATTGATCACCAGACCTCATTTTCCTCAAATACTGAATTCTTTACAAGTGGGTTTCAGCTTGGCTTTGCAAAGTAAGACCAGGCCGCCCTTTTTATTTTTTTAATGATCTGTCTCGACACACACACACACACGCACACACATCTCCATGCAGCTCAAATGCAAAGTGCAGCCATTAAAACGCACTGCTCGGAGAAGCTACCTTCTGTCCCTCGGTGGCAACTGGGGATTCCAGAACATTTCAAGATCGAGGAATTCTTTCCAAGAACCCCAGACCTGGCGAAGACCACCAGGCACCGCCCAGGACGAGAAAGCAAGTGGAAGCCGCGCAGGCTCGGGTCGGCCCGGTCCGGCCCGGCGCTCTCCACTACCGGGTCCCACCCATCAGGTGTGAGTCGGTACCTGCGAGGGGACCCGCCTCTCAGCAGAGGGCGCGGCTCCGGGCTGGGCCTCCAGGGGGCACCCGCGCGCAATTGCGCGCGCGGCCCGCTCCAACCGCGGGGATCAATAGAACCCCCTCCCCGCCTCCCCAGCCGGGAGGGGAGGGCGCGCACCCGCCGGCCTGCGGTCCTCGCCCGGCTCCCGTGCCCCGATCCCAAACTCCAGAGTTCATTTAAGCAGCGCGCACCCGCCCCACAAGCTCTCCCTAAAGGTGCCAAACACCACCCAGAGCCCCACTTGGCTGCGCCCACCCAAAATGAAGGGGGAAGGGGAGGGAGGTCACAGCAGGACCAGGGGAGGGGTCAGAGCCAGGAGCTCGCCCCTCCTCTCGGGAGGAAGCGGGAGGGCGGGGGGTTAACCCTTTTGTTCCAGGTGGGCGAGGCAGCCCGGCCTCTCCACGCTCTGCCCGCCGCCGGCGCTCCCCCCTGCACAAAGAGAGCCCGTCCTCCCGGGCCCTCGAGGGCCCGCAGCCCTGGCCATCAGACGCCCCCAGAACGCACAGCTGCCCTCGCTCAAGCAGATCCCTTTAATGTGCCCTGGACAGATGTTATTTGGGAGGAAATGAGGGTTGCATGGACCTACTAAAAATTGGGGACATTTACTGGTCTCGCCCCTCAAAGGAGAGGATTCGGTAGCCCCAAAAGTGGCGTCCGTCTCCCGCTGGAGTCGTGCGTCCCGGTCTCGGGGGCTGCCGCGCGCACCCCCAGCAGCAGCTAAGAAGTTAGAAAGCAGCGGGGGAGATGGGGGGCGCCCCACAGGGCCCCGGAGGAGATTAAATGTGTCCCGTCTACTCCCCCGCTCCCCCCCCCCACTCTGAAAACTTATCAGGCGACAATGTGGCGCGCGGGAACGGAGCGGGGAACCCCCCGGCTCCAGGAGCTGGGGTAGGTGGTTCTGAGGCGGGGGGCGGGCCGGGCGGGTCCCGAACTCCCGTCCACCCGGAGCTGCCGGCCGCGGCGGCGTGGGCCGGGTCAGCCCCGGCCCGACCTCTCCCCTCGCGCCCCCGGAGCGCGCTTTTGGGAAACCGGGAGCCCCACAAAAAGTCACGCAAAAAGCCGGGCCGGTGGACCCCCGCGGGGCGGCCGCGCGCCCCCGACCTCGGTCCCGGGGGGCCCGCACCCCTCCGCCGGCCGCGGCTATTTTTAGGAAGTCGGAAACCAAAGATGGCCGGAGGTCAGGCCCCGAGAGGTTCAGGCGGAGACGGCGGGCGGCGGAGCCCACGGAGCAGGGCGAACCCGAGGGGGAAATGCAAAGAAAGGGCGAAGTGTGCTCGGCCCCCCACCTTCCCGGCCCTGCACTCCCGGCAGCGCGGGTGGCCCGCACCCCGGCTCCGGGGTGGGGAGAGGTCGCGCCCCCTCCCCCAGGCCAGGCCGGGGAGGGGCGCGCGCCACAGATCGCCCGCCCCGGGGGGTCTCTTCCTGGGGTGCGCCCTGCTCCAGCCTCCCGGAAGCGCCCCAAGGAGCGAGGGGAAGGGTGGGGACCCCCGGGGCTTCTTTCTTTTAAAAGCGGCGCCAGGAGGGAGGAGGGGAGTCCAGGTTACAAGTGGGGGGGAGGTGACCAGAGGGGAGTGGAACCAATTAAGAGCGGGGCAGAGGACAAGGAGGGAAGCCCTTCAGGAGCCGGAGGGACAGAGCAGAGGGTGGGGGGCACTTTTACAATAAGGGGAGCGGGACCTGGAGGTGAAACTTGCACAAGGGGGGGTGGCGAGAGAGAAAAGTGCAAATTTTACAAGGGCGGGTTCGGGGAGAACGAGGCTGCGCGCTCCCCTGGAGCGGGGCCCCCAGATCTTGGCTCCAGAGCCTGCGCTGGAAGCCGCACCTCCCCAAGCCCGCGACTTCGGGGGTCCCGCGGGCGCCGGGGAAGCTGCGCGCCCGGGGCGCGCGCCCCGCTCCACTCACCCGGCTCCCCCGCCGCGGGCGCCGCCGGGCCCGGCTGCAGCGGCTGCTGCGCGCCCTGGTCCTCCTCGGAGTTGATGTGTTGGGGTTTCGCCTGCTTGCGCCTCGACATGGTGCGAGCATCGGGGCGCCGGATTAGCCGCGGTGATTCGCCCACTCCACCGCAAATTCCTGGAGTTGGGAAATTTACCCCCCTTCGGCCGGAACGCGCATGTCCCAGTAATTATTATTATCAATAATGCATTGCGATTTATCATGAGCCCTGACAGCTGATTGGCCTGGGTCCAAGACCTCAGAGATCATTTAAATAAGCCCTCATTGATCAGGGAGGGGCGAGGCATGCTGGGCTTTGTAGTCCGGCCCTGCGAGCGACAAAGGCGTGTGCATCTGGGGAGCCACTAATTAGCATCCGCGCGCACATTGGCTGGACCCCGGGCGCAATCCGAGGGGCGCCCGTCCTGGCTCCGGCTCTGCGAGTCCTGGGCGAGAAAAACAGAAATAATTTTACATATTCTAAGCCCGGGGCCTTCGGTAGAAGTTTTGGAATGGGTGCGCTTGACACTGCGCTCAAAAAATTACTTTTGCAAGGTTACTAGCTGCTAAAGCCCGGGAGGACGGGCCTTCCTGGGGCCGGTTTTCGCTCCGTTTTTACATCCCCCAGCGAAAACAAAAACCAAACCAACCAAAAACCGAGATGTGACCCGTGACCCTCCGGTCTTCTTCTGGTTAAGATGTTTAAATTGAATTTCGAGATGCCTGGAGAACGCAGAAGGGTGGCGGATCCAGCCACCCCGCCCCACCTTAAAGTGACCTTCGGGTTTCCAAAATTACAAATGATCCCCTCGCCGGGATTTATTCCCTTTAAATGCTAAATAATAGCCCCCAGGATTATAGGCACTGGAACTGGTTTCTGGTTTCAATGCGATCTTCATTTTTGGTTTGGGGATTTCTTTTTCTTCTTCTTCTTCTTCTTTTTTTTTTTTTTTACTTTAAAATTACTAAACATAGAAGAGGCAGATGAAAAGCGGGTCAAGTCAAGAGATAATATCAAAACAGCAAGCAATAGCATTTTTGCCCCATGAGCCATTCATGGCGATAACATCATATTTTATTACTGAGACAATGTTCTTAATCTCCCCTGGACTAGCAAAGGACAGGCGCTATCATAAAGTAACTGGGTGTTCCTAATCGTTATTGGAATTTTTTGCAATGCCGCCTTTATTATGGGAAAGGTGTATGACTTAAAGTGACTCTCTGACATGAGGATACTTGGAAGTTTCTAAAATTGTGTGTGTTGTATTGCCTGTATATACGTCTATGCAGTAAATCTTATGTAATTCCATTATCTACCTTCCACAACGTGAATGATAAAAAAAAAATGTTGAATAAATGAGTTACTCCACCATCTAGGTCTTTGGTGTTTTCAGGAGCCTCTGGGCATTCCTCTTTATTTAGCATTTACTTCATTGTATGGGAAGGTGCAAATATAAACCCTTCCTCCACACTTGAGCATTGCTTTCTCTTGATTATTCAACCAGTTCCCAGCTTGTGAGCTTTTCTTGTAAGCTCATCAGGAATGTAAGCAAAATAATGCTGGGCTCATAAAGAAATTCACCTGAGTGTTTGGACAACCCAAGGCAGAAAATAAATCAGCTTGATCATCTTTTTTGATATTCACAGCCATAAATAAACGCTTATGGAAGGAAGGAAGGTTAACCTCCAATTTTTGAGGCCCTGTTTGAAAATGTTTTGCATTGTTTTTTGTTAAGTCCCCTAAAGCGAAAAAGATAGAATTCCAGCCAACAGTCACAGTTGGAAAGGTAAGAATTTGGTTTAAAAATACGTGGAAGCCATTGAGAATTCTCATACTGAGTAAAAAGGCCAATTAACACCTGCCCTGCTGACTAATCTACTTCTATTCCCAACACCTTTTCTGTGTAAGAGAAAGTGGCAGAAGAGGTAATGCATAAATCTAAATGAATGTACAGGAGGTTGACAGCTCTAGAAATATTCGTGGTTTTAGCAAAATTTCATTTACAGTAGGGTTGTTTATTTCAGCTGGTGATAGTTAAAACGCGTCAGCCATTCCTGCTTAGCACAGGGAGTAAAATTGTGCCCCCTCCACACACACACACTATTTTAAAAAACCCCTCGTATCTCCATGTCAGATACAGTCACTTTGAGGGACAGACCTTTTTCATAATAAAGTGGAATGGATGAATACCATTAAAATTGATGGTAATGCCTGACTGAGCCCCTGTGTGTGTCCAGACCATGCTCCCTAAACCCGTTTGTTTCCTTTTTCTCTTCCAGGCAGATCCATGTTTTCTGTCCATCCTGATGAGGATATTGAGGCTCCAAGAGGTGACTTGACTTAGGTAGTGGCTGTGCTGGTCGTCAATCCCTAAACCCAATGTGTCCAGTTTTCCTCCTACCACAGGCTAGTCTCTGCCCTCAAACTGTAGATGAACATGGACCAGATAGTGCATCAAGAAAAAATGATGATGAAAGAAAACATGTTCAATGAACCTTGTGCAGGGTCTATGGAAAATGAGTCCTACAGATAAAAGTCAGAGAGAAGTATTCTTCAAATGAAAGATTCCAAGAATATAGTATCAAGGGGGGAAAAAAGACAGCACACATTTTCAGTGTGCCTCCAACTTCCGAACTATACCCAGGAGCTAGTGGGCTAGAGAAGACCCTAGAACAAAGTGGAGGAGCAAATGGAACCAGTCGGGGTGGGAAATAAGTCCCTAATAAGGCAAAAGTAATTTTTTTTCTGATTATTTAATATTCCTTAAACAACCAAAAGATCTGGGTGGATCCAGTTAAGGGGGAAAGGATCTTCAGAAAAGATGATATTAAAGTTTTTAATGCCTTTGTTAGTTTATCCAATCCAATCATTTTCACCGCTCCAGGCAGAAATTGTTGGGAAATTCACTTCTTGTATCTTGCAATAGGAAGTCTATGAATAATGAGACTTTACTGTTGATAAGGATATTTGGGATACATAATCCCTTTTCATCCTCATCAAGGTCCTTTTTAATTCCCAGCCCATGGGTGGTGGTGGTGGGGAAGCTCAAAACTCCTGCCAGCTTCTTGTGGGGACTTACAAATCATGCTGACTTTGAATTGGGTAGCTTTCCAAGGAAAGGTGCAGGTGTCTGGAACTCACACCTTCTACCTCTACACAATCCTCCCTCTGCGCTATTCTGCAGGGAACTTCCTTCTCTGCTACTCTCTGCCTCTTTTCATTGGCCTATAAATTCGAATTTTCATTTCAAAAACTGGCCTTCCTTCAGTCAAATCAGGTCTCACCTATGAGAAGCCAGTTTGCTCTTCTATAGCACAGTTAAAAATTTGTAATGTCAGATTTAATTGCATCCCCATTTATTGCTTGTCTTCCACTGTGCAGACTCCATGGGGGCAGACACCTTCACCACGGTGTCCCCAGCCCTCAGCCACTGCGACAGAACACAGAAGTCACACAAACAATAATGAACTAATCAATCAATGTGAATCACTTTGGGGACCTGAATATCAGACAAAGTATTAAAAGGCAGTTACAGGGTGGCACAAAGGGTTAAGCACCACACTATGAAGCAATCCACAGCCTCTGCAGCACGAGTTCGATCCCCGGCTGGCCAGAGAGAAACCCACATGGCGCAGCAGACCTCTCCTGTCTCGCCCGCTGCTCCCCTCAGCAGTGTATTTCAGTAAATCTGCCTGTTCTGCTCCCTACTCTGTCTCTGGTGAATCCTCTCACCCCTCGCATCTCTGGCCTGTACCCCAGCTCTTGTATGCATAAATAAATAAATCTTTCTTTTTTTTAAATAAAAGGCAATTATAGTTGGCAAGAACGTAAAATAATACAGTTGCCATGGAAAATAATATGACTTTTCCTCCAAAAACTGAACATAGAATTACCATATAATCCAGCATTTCCATTTCTGGACATAGCTATCCAAAGAATTGAAAGCAGGGACATGAAGAGGTATTTGAACACCCAGAAGGCCATTGCTCATTGCTCCTCTTGCTGCCAGCGTGAGCCCAGGGGCTCAGCTCAGATGGCATTAGTGGTAGGACATGTTGGCCAGTTAATCTCTCTTCTCTCGTTCTCTGCTTTCTCCCTCTTCTCATTTCCCTTGTAATAAACCTTTTATTATCCTTTCAAAAAAGAAAGAGAGAGTGCCTCCCCGGTGGCGCAGCGGTTGAGCGCTGGGTTGCGAAGCTGCCCGCAGCCTCTGCAGCGCCGGTTCGATCCCCGGCTGCTCTCCGGCCCCCGGAGGAGGGTCCCACATGGCGCGCAGACCTCTCCTGCCACCCGCTGCTCCCCTCAGCAGTGTACTTCGGTCCTTCTGCCTGCTCTGCTCCCCTCTCTGGCTCTGGTGAATTCTCTCACCCTCCCGCGCTTCTGACTGTACCCAGTGCATGTATAAATAAATAAATGAGTGAATGAATGAATAAATAAATAAAAATCTTTAAAAAAACAAAAAAGAGAAAGAAAGAAAGAAAAGGAAGAAGGAAAAAAAGAAAGAACATTGTTCACAATAGCCAAAAGATGGAAGCCACCAAGTATCCATCAACAAATGAATAAACAAACTGTGATGGAATATTATTTAGCCTTAAAAAGGACAGAAATTGGGCCTCCCTGGTGGCGCAGGGGTTAAAGACACAGCACTATCAAGCTATCACCAGCCACTGCAAGCAGGAGTTCCATCCCCGGCCAGGGAGCTACCCACACGGCACAGCAGACCTCTCCTGTCTCCCCGCTGCTCCCCTCAGCAGTGGATTTCAGTAGATCCACCTGTTCTGCTCCCCACTCTGTCTCTGGTGAATCCTCTCACACAGTCCCCCACCTCTGACCTACAGCCCAGTTCTTATATGCATAAATAAATAAATCCTTTTTTAAAAAAGGAAAAATTCTGACGCATGCTCCAATATGGATGAAGATAGGCTCATGCTAATTGAAACCAAGCAATCCCAAAAAAGGGATATGCTGTATGATCACACCTAAGGAGTCGCCCAGAGTAGCAGATTCTCCCAGACAGGTTAGGAGGGAAATGTCCCTGGGGGGCAGGGCTGGTGGGGTGGAGCGAGGAAATTGACAATTTTGTTGTTTCAAGGGAATAGAGTTTCAGTTAGCAAGCTAAAAGGGTTATAAGAGAGTGAGGGCAGTATGAATGGATTTAAACCACTGAACAATAACAAGATAGTTAAGATGTAGCACTTGATGTTCTGTTGTATTTTACTGCATGGCTGTGGGGCGGTGCACACTGAGGCTGCCCGGTGGTCTAAATTTACTAAAGATCACCAAACTGTACACTTCCAATGGGCAAATTTTTGATAGGG